ACGAGCAGTCTATCTTTAACTAAGATAGTGTGGCAGGTTGCACTTAGGTACCATTAGGGTGGCCAAGTGATGCTAGATTTAGATATTAGGAAATTCTATGTAATTGTATAAATATATAGTTTCAAGAATCTTAATGAAGTACTAGTGTAACTGCTTAAGGTTAAAAAAAAAAATAAAAAAATAAAAATAATTATTATAATTAAAAAATTATTTTAATATCTTATTGTGCAATATTTTATAAATATATGTTTATATTTAGACAGTTGCAAAATATAAAGTTATTTTAAATAAAACAACAAATAAAAAAATTTATTTATTTATTTATTGTTTTTTTTTTAAATAAAAGTTTTAAATTATAAGCAAAAACTCTCTACAAACTAATTTATTTGTAATTTTTAACAAATGCATTTTGTCTAGCAGATTATATGTATAAATATTATTATAAGCAGACCAATTCACACCATCTTTTTAAGAGATTCTGCTAATAAAAGTTTTAGAATTAAAAAAGCATATTTTAGAAATAAGCAAAAGTTTTAAAGTCAACTTAATCACAAACAACAAATAAATTAAATAAGTCTATTTTATAAGATAAAATTTTATTTATATATGTATTGTATGTAATAGTTGTTTCATTTTTGGCTATGATCTTAGTGTATTTCAACTTTAAATTGTCTATTGGAATTGCTGTTAGATAAGTTTATAGATATTGCATATTGAAAAAAGCTATATAGAAATCAGACTATTTTATATTTGTAATAAATTTATTCTGATATGTTAGGTATTAACAGAAATAAAAGTTTCTGCTTGTATATGTTGTGCCTCATATCGGTTCTTGCCTCAGGTGGCAACTGAGGCACCTCAGGTGTCAATCGTCATACGAGGTGCATAACATGTCGATCAGTTACCTGAGATACCTCAGTCATCACCTGAGGTACCTCAGTTATCAACTGAGGCAAATTGTAAATAATCGATTAAAATTTTATATGTACATTTTATAACATTAGCATTACAAATTGAACACTTATAAAATTAACACTACTTAAAACTTCAATAAAATTTTTTTAAAAGCTAGAATTCCCATTACAATACGAAATAATTGTTAATATTTCTATACAATGCAAATAAAAAAAAATTTATCCAGCTTTAACAATAATAGCATTTGCCTACATATAGAATATTAAAATGATTCATGAGTAAAACTGTTTATTGTTTTGTCTCTTATTTACAAGTAAATTTATCATGAAAAACATAAATAGGTATAGCCCTTCTGCTATCGAGCAACCTACACAGTTTCTCTGAGCATTGACTTTTTTTTTTTTTTTTTTTTTAACTAACTAAATCACATCGTAATGACGACAAGCTATACCTACATATGTGACTGTCATCCTGACAGACCACATGGTTTTAGTAGGCAGACTAATTCTGTGTATATGACTGTCATCATGACAGGTCACAATTTCTGGCTGCCATCTCAGCAGGCCAATCAAAACATCATTGCATCATTATGGGGACAGGAGGGAGGGATCGATGTAACCAGAATGAAAGTCAGATTCGCAGAAAAGACAAAATTAACTTACATCAATTTCCCACATTCACTAAAATACTATGATCCTATTACCTCATACTTTCTCACATGTACTTACTCAATCATCTCATACTTACCCAATTATTACATACATGCTAAAAATACTAATTATCTAAACTATGTTTATATTTACTAATTGCAAAACTAATTGCAACATACTGATATTACTGAACACATAAGCACTACATGCTTAGGATCGATCGAATGATCGAACATGTGACTGTAAACAGGCTTGTCACATGTTTGATCAGGTGCATAGATTCGAGACAAAAGCTGCCTCGATACTTACGTATCAAGCAGCTATTTACTTTCATAACTGCTAAAAATTATTCTTTATTTGAACATGATTTTCTGCTATAACATTTGCTTGTACAACTTTCTTCTGCTTGTCTGCATTTACAATTGTTGTTATTACATGATCCCTTGCAATTGCAAATACCACTTGATACTGGTCCTATGTTTTGAAGTCTTGCTGCCTCACGAATGGATAACATGTGTGATGGGATTTCATTAAGATCAGGATAAGAGATAGTTCCAAGAGGTTCAAGCTCGTCTGATGTATAACAAACATTAATAATGCCAAATTTATATCCTAGTTGATATTTTTCGCCAATTATATCAACTACTTTGCAAGAAAGTATGAGACAGTCAGTGCCAAATCGATCGATTTTGGGAACAGTTATTCGCACAAGATCACCAACATGATAATCAATGATTTTTCTTTTTTTTGTTATTTGATTTACCATCTTTTCAGTGTAAAGCTGAAGATCTCATCATGCTGCGCTTCATAATAATTCATGTGAAGTATTTGTAATATTTTTAAAAACTGAATTGTTTCCTATTAGCATGACAATTTTAGGATTAATAAATTTTTTGAGAATAAAAAATTTATCATTATGCATGTTAAATAATATTATAAACTTGCCTGAGCATGAAATACTGTTATTAACCAGTTGAAATTCTGGAATTTTACCCAAAATAGAAATATAAATTAGTAAAAAAATAAAAATAAATATGTAACACAGTAATGAACTTGCCTAAAATGCTACTACTATTATCCAGCTGCCAGCGTAGGCTTTTTCCTGAGAATAGAAATAGAAATATTTAAATTATTTAAGTTAAATATTGATATTGATATAGAAAAAAAAAATTTAATTTGCTTACCATCTGGCTTCCAGTGTGGGTTTTTACCTAAGAATAGGAACATAAGTAATATAAATTAACTAAGTAAAAAGGAAAAGCAGCGATAAGAACTTGCCACCATAATTTTTTAAATGCCATTGTGAGGCTTATAAAAATAAAAATAAAATAATATGAACTTACTTAAAGATCCACTACTTTTATCTAATCGTAAACGTGAAGGTTCTAAGCTTTCATCTGAAAATAAAGGATTTTTAAATTTGTAAAAAAAAAAAAAAAAAAGATATCAATATAGTAATATGAACTTACTCAAAGATCCGTCTCTACCTTTATCCAATCACAAACGTAAGGGTTTCAAGATTTCATCTAAAAATAAAATTTTTTGTAAACAAAAAAAAAAAACAAAAATTATATGTAATAATATGGACTTACCCAAAGGTTTGCTACCATTATCCAATCGCAAACATGAAGATTTCAAACTTTCATCTAAAAATAAACATTTAGGTTTGTAAAAAAAATAAAACAAATAAAAAATAAAAATAAATATATAGTAATATAACTGACTTATAGAGCTGCCACTATTATCCAATTGCCGTTGTGAAGGTACTGAGCTTGTATCTAAGAATAGGAATATTATTAAATGACACTGTAATAAAATTGAACTTATTAAACTAATTAGTAGTATGAACTTACTTGTAGAGCTACCGATATTGTCCAGTTGCCATTGCGAAGGTACTGAGCTTGTATCTAAGAATAGAGATATTATTAAATGATACTAATAAAATCAAACTGTATTAAACTAATTAGTAATATAAACTTACTCATAGCAATAGAGCCACTACTATTGTCCAGTTGCTGTTGCGAAGTTCCTGAGCTTATATCTAAGAATAGGAATATTAGTAAATAAAATTGAACTGTACTAACTAATTAATAATCCGAACTTACTCATAGTGATAGAGCCACTGAGTTGCTGTTGCAAAGTTCCTGAGCTTATATCTAAAAATAGTGATATTAATAAATGATACTGTAATAAATTAAACTATATTAAACTAATTATCTGAAATATTATCATTACAAACTAATTAATCATGTAGTTCTAAGTTTTTATCTATAAATTTAAATATAAGTTAGCAGTAAATAATAAGATAAATTGTACCAATTGTAAACTTCTGAACTACCTAAAGTATTGTTACCACTGTTTATTTGTTGCTCCAGGCTTTTATCTACGAATCTAAAATGTAAGCTAACAGCAAAAATAGTATGAATAGATCGTATCAAATATAAACTTATCTAAAATATAAGCATCATATCAATGATATGAAGGCCCTACGCTTTCATCTATTAAAATATAAGTTAGCGGTAATAAGAATAAAATATTGTAAAATATATTAACTTACCTGAAGTATTATCGCCACTATCCTCTTGATAGTATGGAAGTTCAGAGATTTTATCTACAAATTTAGAATGCAAGTTAATAAATTAGGAAAGAAAGAGAGAATATAAAAAAAATATTAATTTACCCTATGTATAATTATCATTATTTGACTCGGAGTTTTTTCTAAAAATTATAAAATTTAAGTTAATAATGTAATAAAATTATTGAGATTATAGCAAATGCTAAGTGCCCAAAGTATTATTGCCATGTTGGTGCGAAACATCAGAGTTATTGTCTAAAAAATTGTAAATGCTATTAATGAAAAAAATTTAACAAGATAAATTGTTACGAATTTAAATTTATCTGTGTTGTCCAGTTCCTCAGATAGTGATTCTATACATTGGTCATAAAAAATTAATAAATAATTATAGAATCAGAAATTATAGCAATATATAAAACCTTATCATTTATGTCATTATTCAAATCCATAATAGAATTACTCTGAATATCAATAGTACTCAGAATTTCTTCTTCATCACGAATATTCCTTTTAAACAAATCATTGACTAATGTATAATTTCTGCAGGGTTTACTTCTATAAACAAGTTCGTAAAGGGTCTTCTTATGTGCTCGACACCATGAGGTGTTCATAGCAGTGATAACAAATTACAAGCTAAATGACCAGTTATCACAACCTGTTTCTTCCTTCCATTTGCCTATTTTTTGTTCCAATATTCCGTTTGCCCATTCTACAAGTCCTTGGGACTGAGGGTGCCTAGGGCGCCTATTTATGATTTTTGCTGATGGCCATAATTCCATTAATTCTTTAATAATTTTCACACAAAATTCTTTTTCATTGTCTGACTGAAGTATTACAGAAGATGATCCTATTAAATGGAAAAGATTGAACAGGTAGGCCACCACTTCAACTGCTCTTTTAGAGATAAGAGCTTTTGACCAAGAAAATCATGAAAAGTGATCACACATGTGGTATATGTATTTAAACTCTCTGTCTGAATTAAAGGTCATGTCTATTAGATCAATCTGGAAAAAAAAAAAAAAGAGTAATAAATAAAACAAATAAAATAAAGTGCTTGAGGACATCCAATTGTGAAAAAAAAAATAAATAAAATAAAGCAAATAAAATATGCTACTTGAACACGGGACAAAAAATTTTTTGCGATGATTGGCTTGGCGGCTAAAGGATGAAACATTGGTTTGCGAACAGCGCATATAGTACAATTATTGATAAATTGTTCAATGATGTCTTGTTTCATCCAGCCCCATCTTTCTCTTATAGTTTTCCAGGTTTGTTTTTGACCTCTATGTTGAGTTATTTGACCGTGAACTTGACAAAGTGTCTCATACATATTTTGAGTAATCATTACTGGATTATTGGTCGCCTTTACAATAATCCTATAGTCACCAGAAACTATTTTCTCAAGTCAGAACTGTTTTTTGGCCCAGACTCTCATATTTTTATTGTAAAGCGAGGTATTTTGAGGATCTAGTAAAATATGCTTTATTTTATTGTATAATTCATGGTTAATTAAAGCCTTTTCACATTTTGATTCTGGAAGATTAGAAACATAATTTTCAAGAATCTTATTAAGGGTATTTCTACTAATAAAATTATATTCCATTTTTGAAGGCATTGAAAATATGTATATAGTCACGTTGATATAACAACTTTTGATAGAATAATTCTTAGAGCATAGTACGATAATACAATGAAGTATGTAAATTTTATTTGGAGAGAAGAAAAAATCAGTTTGCTGAGCTCACGACTTCTTTTTTATTCAATTTTACTGCACTTTAGATTTATTTAATTATTGCATAATGAAACAATTACTAATATAGAAATCGCATTATTTTTCAAGTAAGTATTACAAATAAATATTTAATGTCTGAATTTTTTTTTATGCAAATCATCTTGTCTCAGGTGACGACTGAGGTACCTCAGATAACCGATTGACATGTTATGCACCTCATATAACAATTGACACCTGAGGTGCCTTGGTTGTCACCTGAGGCAAGAACTGATATGAGGCACAACATATACATATAATTAGAGTATTTTTGCTACATACTCTGTAATCTTGATATAGTAATCAGAATATTTTAAAAATAATACTTGTTCAAATAAACTAGGTTTCTAAGAGGATTATTAACTGCTGTTTAAAGGTTTAAAAAACTGTTTCTGGAATATTAGTAAATTAGGTTGAACAGTAGCAGATTTTGGCTAAGAAACCTAAGCAAGAAGATAGTGTAAAGGCTTGATGTTTTTGTTAACTTAATGCTTTAGTTGATGCTAAATGATATGTTTTGTAAAGTATTGTTTGGTTAAAAATAAAGATTATTCTGATGTCTGATAAAAGATCAAAATTTTTTAATTAAAAGCATATATCAAAGATAAAATTACTTGACAATTTTAGCTAATTAAAACCTAAATTATCAAGTAATCTAAAAATTTTCTAAATAAAATAAGTGACATTTCTATATCATATAAGAAATGATTTACATTGCCTATTTTTGATAATATGCCTAACTGTACTATAAAGGCCTTGACCCTAATGAACTAGAAACTTATGAATATTATACAACAAAACTAAGAAAAGAAACTCTTGTTCAATATAAAGTATGTAATATTTAGAAACCTTAATCAAGAATGCATTATTTAAAAAGTATGCAAGAAAACCTATGATTTTGTAAATTAAAACATATATATACTTATAAAGTTAGCTTAGATTTGCAATATAATTCAAATTCTAAAATTTGGAACAGAATTAAACACTATACTGAGTCTAACAACAATGCTGAAAGTCAATATAACTTGAATCAAGATAGAATTTATTAACTTGCTAAAGTCTTATTAGAATAAAATACTCAGACTATAGAAGAAGCTATGGAAAAACAAGATCATAATAAATATAATCATGAATAAATCTTTAATAAAATTACTATCTTACTATAAACAGAACAAGTAAATTTTACTAAAAAAAAAAAAGCCACCTTACAACAAATCTTAGATGAATCTTTTAATACTGCTCATCCAAACTTTAATATTCAAAAAGCAGTAGAAAATTTAAGAAAGAATTTTAAAGAAAAAGTAGCTCTTTGCTATAAATGTTTTTTTGCTAAACAATATACAAAATTGGAAGAACATTAAGGATATTGTAATGAATGTTACTAAGAGTTAAATGAGTTAATTCTTGCTAAAAAAACTATTTTAGAAAAAAAAAATATTATAGAAGTGATAGAATTATCAAAAAAAACTGCTATTGTAAAACTAATAAAAATAAGTAAGAATACTATTTTTAATAAAAAAAAGAAATATCTCATTCTCCTACTTTTAACTCACCCTTAAATTCTATTTCATATTCATCTCAATCTTCCCTTTCTAATTTAATTCATTCTAAAATTTACTTCTGGTATATACAATAGATCAAATACCAAACTAATTTTTCATACATAATTACTAACAACCAAATCTAGATAAGCCTTGGTCACTCTTGTTGATTTAGGTTGCAGATAAACTAGTCTGAGCTTCTACTCTTTTTATAATATTTTTAATAGTAAATTTATACTTTATGTAAAAATTTCAAATAAATATTCAATAAAGATAGAGGCATGGCCTCACTATTAATATTAAAAAAAAATAATAATAAAAAAAAGGATAAAAAAGAAGATAAAAAAAACTAAATTATTGTCAGATTAGAAGCCAGAATTCAACATCTAGAAGACAATTTTGAAAAGATATTAGAATTTTTCTAAGATCAAATAACTTATTACCAAGAATGAGCAAATTATTATTTTTGTTTAACTTTGTATTTCAAAATTTTTGAATTATTCTAGGCAAGATCAAAAACTACCTGACTCAAAAGAATTAAAAAACTCAAAAGATCCAAAAGATTCAAAAGACCAAAAAGATATAAAAAACTTGAAACAAATAGAAGACAAAGAAATTAAAGAATTGCCATTTAAGAAAGAATTACCAACAGAAGAAAAAGCTTTGCAACAGACTTTACAAAGAAATGCATTAAAAAAAAAACATATTATACAATAAATACTCTAAAACTATATAAGAAATATGCTTTAGAGAAAACAGATACTGTAAATATAGAACTACTTACTAAAAAACAAGAATAACTATTCAAAAATCTATTAGAAGAATTTGCTAATTTATTTGTCAAAGATATTACAGAACTTGGCAGAACAGATAAAGTTAAACATTGCATTTATATAGAAGATATACTATTTGTTAAATTACATCCTTACAACATGCCTTCTGATAAACAGAACTTTATTAAAGAAGAGATTGAATGAATATTAAAAAAAGCAATATAATTCAATCATCAGAAAGTCTGTAGCCATTATCTGTTGTCCTAGTATGCAAAAAGAATAAAAAGCTAAGATTTTGTATAGATTACAAAAGACTTAACAATATGACTAAAAAGAATGTCTATTCTTTACCAAAAATACAAAAAATATTAAATGCCTTATCTGGATTACAATAGTTCTTAACTTTAAACTTAGCTAATGGTTACTGGCAAGTTATAATAGATCTAAAAGATAAAGAAAAGACTGCATTTATTACAAAATATGGTACTTATAAATTTAATATAATGCTATTTGGATTATACAATGTACTAGCAACATTTTAATGACTTATAGACAGAATGTATAAAGAAATTGCATGAAAATTTGTTGTTGATCTATCTTAATAACATCAATATATACTCAAAAATATTTGAGGATCATTTGAAACATTTAAGAATAATATTTTAATGAATTAGATAAGCTGAATTAAAACTCAACTTTAATAAGTGCAACTTTTGAATAAAACTATTATTCTTTTTAGAATATACTATTAGTTCAAAAGAAATAGCCCTAGACCCTACAAAAATTGATGCTATACAAAAGATTTAACCTCTTAAAAACCTCATTAAATTAAGATTTTTTCTTGATTTAGCTAAATACTATAAACAATTTATTTAAAACTTTTTAGCAATAGCCTAACCTCTTAACAAACTTCTATATAAAAATGAATCTTATTATTAGAGAAGTAAACAACAACAAGCTTTTGAATTATTTAAAGAAAAGCTTGTTACTGCATTTATACTAACTTACTCTAATTTTAGCAAAAGATTTATATTTGCTACA